TAAAGGGAGCATGATGGAGACAGCTATTGTTCATTTATTGGAGTTCCAGGCAACCCGACCTGTGGCACTGGATCAGCAGGGGCAATTTTAGTTTTAAAATGACTTAATCGGTCCCTGGTTTATAGGAGGCTTAAGATGAGTATACTGAACTCCATTCTTCTGAGCTTCAGAAGGGGCGACTTTCTACTCTCCACTGACTTAAAATCTGGTATGACAACGGCATAGTCTAGATGTAAGGCGAGCTCACTGCATATATTTCAACTGCATGATGTGTGTTAGGAAATAGAGGTTTTCTTTGTTTCTTTTCAACCACCCACCATTGGGTGCAAGACCTCTTCCTCAATGATCAGTAGGTGGCTGAGAGCACAATTACCAAGTCCTACTAGACACAGTCTCTTCCTGTACTCAGGGGCATCACTGCTCATTTGACCTGGAGCACTGCGATGTTGACGACATGGGCTACAAGCACCAAGAGGAAATTTACAAGGCAACATGGGCCTCGCCATCGCCTTTTATTTAGAAACTATTAGAATGATATCTTCGCCTCTGTAGAGGCTGCCTTTGACAGGAGAGTGTTACAAAGGGTCCATAGAGACGAAGAAAAAGGGGAATCTGAACCAGACAGAAGCCCTCCCATAGGACACACCAAGCTTTGGTATGTTCCATTCGATGCTCTGAACAGCTCATCTGGAGAAGGGGCGTTGGTAAAGTATTATCAAAATCTTTAGCAGAATGGTCATAAAAGCCAGCTTGTGAAACATGACTGCTGATAGACCTCAAGAAAAATTCCCTTGTATGAAACAGTAAACTGACATATGGTTTGCTATTTCATGTCATGGACCTGCTCTTTCTTTATAATCTGGTGCATTATTTTCTTTGGACTTCCCAACCACTAAGTAATCATCTTTTTTCCTGTTGATAAAATAACATAGGCTAATGCACAATTGATACACTGTGACGGGAGAAAAGAATAATCTACTAATGTTGTTGATTCAGAAAAGACAGCGAATGATCCATCAGTTTTACCTTGCAATTTGCAGTTTAAGTGTCAACATCTTCTCATCTGTTAACCTTAGATAGCACTTAGAGCCAAATGTAGGCTTATCTCTTTAATTTCTATTGACAATAAAACAAAGGAAAAACTCTTTGGCTCAGATCAAAAACTTACCTGGTCCAATTTTTTTTTATTGCAGTAGCCAAGCAGGTGTTTTTAGGAAGCTCATAAATCTTGGGTTTCTGCCTTTCTCTATGCTTACATATTTTCTTTGTGGATTTCATTTTTTTCTTTTCTAATTAATCCTGAACAACAGACCATGCTTAGTCTTTACTGTGTCATTCTGTATGTTTAAAACTTTTTTAAAGATTCTTTGAAAAGTATTTTTCTATTGTTTTCTACAGTGAATCTGTTGCATATACCACTTACTCATGTCTATTTGTAACCTTCAATTTGGCATAACTCTGCTTCATTGGGCAGCAGATTTTCAACCAAGGTACATCAGGTGAACTAAATCACAGAATACATCCAAAATCCTATCTTGAAATTTAGCAAACTTCTGGCTTCTTCAGCAGACTTCATTACAATGGTCAGCTGCTGCCCTGTGATTGGCATTTCTAGTGCTCCCTGACAACTTTTCAAAGTCAATGGGGAAGCTAGCAGGGAGTCTAAAATCAATTGTGGCAGGAACAGAGGAAGGGAAAGAGGAAGGAAGGAAGGAAGGAAGGAAGGAAGGAAGGAAGGAAGGAAGGAAGGAAGGAAGGAAGGAAGGGAGGGAGGGGAGGGAAGAAGGGGGGAAGAAGGAAGGGACAAGGAGGGAAGGAAGGAAGTCTTCTGATGCTCCCTGCTATCTTTCTCAAGGGAATTCAGTAAAGAGCTGTCAGGAAGTTGGAAATTGCTCCACTCCCATTTTTTTTTTGCCCAACTATGAACATTCTCTTCCTGTGCTTCGGTAAGGAAATATATCGGCAGTGATTACCCAGCAGGATATGAGTTGTATAAGTAAGACTTGGTGTCAGAGACCTCCATGGATATTGAATGTTCTTTGCTATGGCTAGTTAGCTTATTTTGAAGTGTTTCTATCCATCTTAAGTGATTTCTACTCCTATAGTTAAATTCCAGTAGTGGCAGAAGCCTTTGGCAGTAAATAAACAAATGAAATCTTTGCATGGCAATATTGTAATGATAAAGTAACTTAAGTGATAAGTTCACAAAAACTAATTCATTAGAAAAAAGAAGCTGAATATTTATTGAGTGAGCTAAATAACATAAGCTAGCAGAAAGCAAGGAGGGTGGATATTCTAGGAAAAAATGGTGTGAAAATATCCAGAATCAATATTTACCAAGCGAATAAAGTTCTTATAATGTCAACACAGAATTACTGTAGGATTACACCTTGAAATTATCAATTATAAGTTATCAATTATATACAAGATACAATTCGCCCCCACCTTGTTGCTTTTCTGAAAGGCCCTGAAGATGTGTTTTTGTCAGTGGACCTAGGGACCATGAATGGAGATGAAGCCAATGAGATGGTTGATCTGATTGTGTTGCTTTAAAAAGAGGGTTTTTTAAAATTAGTTTTTATGTTTTGAATTTTTTAATATTGTAAGGTGTCTGGAGTCACCTGTGTGTAAGTTGGGCAGCCGTATAAACTTGTATAATAAATAATTATGGAGTTTGGAAAAGCTCTGTTCTAAAAATGAAGATGAAATGAGAAGATAAAACAAAATGTTTCTGTATGGTCTAGAATGGATAATCTTAAGGAATTAATTCTACAGATCTTTTTCCCTCTCTCTATGCGTTTATTGGTTTCTTTTTTTGTCCAGTTTAGCTTTATTTATTATAATACATCTTAAATTCTTTTTATTTCATAGAATACTTTTTTTCCTTTGTTGATGCTGTAGATTTCTATATTTCACTATTAAATTAAAAAACAACAGAGGGATGTGCAACACTCGTGTATAAGTGGTAACCAGCACAAAATCTGGCTATTCCTGCAATAAATGCTTTGTTAATACAAACAGGCTAGCCATTCTGTTGTATATTCCTGTCCTTGTTCAGTCTACTGCTATGAATTACACCAGCTGTGCCAGTAACCAAAGTGGCTGCCAATTTTGGGAGCTTCAGGAAACAATGTCAAGAAGGACAGGTGCACACCAAAAATTTTTGTATTGTCATTTAGAGTGCTATTTAGATGTAAACATTTGTATCTACAGTAATACCTCCTGCAATTTTCTGTAGTATATTACACACGGCTCTGATTTCAAAGGCGTATCTATGTAGTGCAGTGAAATTGTGAATTGGCCTTAATTTTGATGCTGGGGATGTGGGGCTGAGAAACAATAACTTTATACTTTCTAATGGGATCTAAATATTTGAACAGAATATAAAGGAGGAAGTTAAAGATTAAATATCTGCTTCTGTTTTGTCTTTTTAAAAAAATTATAAACAATAGTAAATAACAACATGGTGGAGACATTATTATTAAGCATTAAGCTCATAGATAGAAACTTTTTGATATCATAAATAAATGCATGGAATTGTCTATCAATGCCATTCGTAGTTTTAATTGTACATTTCAAGCAACTTTAATTTACATTTTAGAAATTATATTGAATAGTGGCAAACTTTTCTCTTTAAAGATTTGACTTATCTAAACCATCAGGATGCTAACAATTTCTAGTTTATGTTTCATAAAAACCACTGTACCAAGCAGCTATCTGTTTTTAATAACGCGATTTTCACATCTTATAATGCAATAAATTACTAGGGGGAAAAGACCACAATAATTTGCATAGCCCTTCCTTCTCCATGCATGCATGCATGCATATTTCTGGTGTATTTTATACAATAGCTCAAAATAACTTTGAATGTTTACTATAGACATGCTTTGCTTTCTGATACTCATTCATGCTTATGATTATATCACTTTATCAAATACCTAAAGCAGTCTGTTGCTTAACGATATGAAAAAGTAAAGCTACCCCTCCCTTTCTTTTTCCTCCTAATTTTAATAGTCTTTTTTAAAATTTAATAAGTATCACAGATAGTTAGGTACTGTCCAGTTGGGTTCAATTCCTCAATCAAACTGAAATTGATATATCAATAAATATTATCTGGACCTGCCTTTCATAAATACCAATGCAAGCTTGTTTAAAGGTGAAATGAATAATATTCAGTTGAATTTCTTCTGAGGAAGATAAGCAATGGATTGCAGTCTTGTTGCCTTTCAATTAGGAATGCGAAATTTGATAGTTCTCTGTCTTTTATATGGATATTTTTTTTCTTCCAGCTTTGAAAATAATAACTACTGTTGGGGGGGTGGGAAAGAGGGAAATGGCTGTCGACAGTTTCTTTGGGTCACACATGTATTCAAGACATGATTATTAAATGCCATTAGGAAACAGTGCTGTCATATTACTATAGTAGAAACATAGCAACCCATATTATATGTACCCCTATTTGTAGAGTTGAGTTAGAGCAAATAATCTAACATTTTCATTAATAATCACTAATGAAGTTTAAAGTAGAATATGTTATTTACATATTCATTCTAAAACACTATATCACTTATTGTATGTTATATATTACATTTGCATCATGCAGACATATTTGGTGACATAAGGAAGATGTGAAATTTAATGAACTAGACATAAAACCGTAGCCAAACCTCCCACACTTTTATAGTTTGTGATATGTGACCTTGAAGAGATGATTTGTAATATTTTCTAAGCTTTGACTTCATTATTATTCTAAGAACAGTTTAACACATGGTTTTGGAATTCATAATGGCCATGACAACCAAAATATATGAAGCCTAAGACATTTTTCTATTTGTGTATTTGACTGATTCTTTTTGTCATTAGCAAGTGTGGGTGACTGGATCCTTTATTAGTGGATTTTTCTAGTCCTACCGTATGCATGAAGGCAATTGGGTGACCTTACTTCACGCATTCTAGGCATTTAGACAATGGTCCAATTCAGTTACGTTTTTATTTCATAGGACAGAGTTTGTTCAGAAAGGAAATATAACAGTAAAAGGCACTGGATTGCTGAATTGCTTACTGGAAATTTTTGCAAAATCCTTTTTAAATCAAGGAGTCAAAAGGGTAAGTGCTTTTTTTAAAAAAAATAATTCCCAGGTTCTTGATATCTAATGTGCTTTCTTCTGCTATGTATAATATTCTAGTTGCTTTATATTAAAATGTGTTAAAACAAGTATTGGTACATAAGACATTCCCATATATGTATTTATTAGACTAATACAATAGGTCACCAGCTGCCTACATTGCATTTATTCAAAGTTTTTATTCAGGCAGAACTTGGGTGGTGAGCATTTGAAGCAGAGTTTTTCATATAAGTGCCTCATTTTCAACTAATCCATCTAATCATAAACTACCCCTGAGATATTTAGCTAGCAGAAAATGTGGCTATAGGATGCTGCTGCTGATAGTTGCTTTATCGTGGTATCTTCCCAGAATCTAATTATAAGACTGAATTCATTCACAAACAAGACACATTGGTCAAGCAAATATGTGATCGTGTACATTATAAAATTGATCAGAAGAAAAATTGAGAACTAGCTCTTTTGAATAATGTGAATAATTCACCCTGACCCATTTTGGGGCTCTTGGGATTATTGTCAGAACTAGAAAAAATTAAGATTGTATAGATAGAGCATAATGAGATGAAGTGATGTTACATGAGATATTTTTATTTTTATATTTATTTTTATTGATAACTTTGTTTTAACTCATTGGTCAGGCTTATTGTGGGATGCTGCCAAATATACTCAGAAACTTTATTTCAGTGATTATTTGACATTCATCTTACTTGCAGATGGTTCACCTTTTTCTTTCAGATGTTTCCATTCTCATCCCTTTCTGTATTAATAATATTGGCATAAGCAAAACAACAAATAAGAGATCAAAAGAATTTTCAGTCAGAAGTACGTGGATGCACTAGCTTGCACCTGGTGCAATCTTAAGAATCAGCAAAGTCACATGATGCAGCAGATATTATAACATATTGAAACTAATATTAAATACAGCTTTCTTTTATATTAATTTGTTTTATGTGAGATATAGCAAGGTGAAGTAAGCCCATGATTATCTATAGAAGAAAATCTTACTACAGAGATCAGTTAAATTCTATTGTCCACATTTGCACATAACAAACAAGGTTTGTTACAACAAAAAGATCAGCTTAGCTGATAAAATGACAACTATTAGAACCTCAGTTGTAAGGAATATATTTATTGGGCAGTACCATTATTTCAGTCATATATGACTTGCAATTGATCATTAGTCATTTTATATATTGCTTTTTTTCCTCTTCTTTCCTAACCCCTATTTTAGAGGCAGCAATGATATGAGGAAGAAAGGGAAAGCAGCTTTCACATTGTGAACATAATTGATTCAATAAATAACACGTTAAGATTTCCAGTGCAAAACTCAAGAGTTCTCACATTTGTCAGTTCGTGCTGTATTTAGTAAATGGTGGCAAACTTAATTTAGATGGATGAGCTGTATTAGTCAGTTCTCACTTCCTGTGGAGATGATGAAAACAGATAAAGGAGCTGCAAGTTCCAATATTTAAAGTTTATAAAGAAGCATTTTGTAAGCCATTCTGAATTTTTAAAATGTGGATCATTTGGATTATTGGTTTGTAACTGATCCAAAGTTGGCACGGTAAACATAATTTCCAAATTCTATTGGGAAAAGAAGATTTTACGGTGTACTGCATTGTTTGAGCTGCTAGTTCTTTGTTACATATACAGAAGTTTCTCCTTTACCAGAGAACAAAAAGATCCCAATTAGTGTGGGGCCTTGAATAGAGCCATTGACATCCATATCTGAAAACCAACAGAATACAGTAAATACTATAATCAAACTACAAAATTTTGATTGGTACCTGGTCAAAATTGCAACAAGCTATAGCTCTAGGTTCCAGTTATGTATATGTTTATGTGTATGTATACACACACATATATTGTCACCTCACTTCCTGAAATATTTGCAGATTGTGACCAGAAAGACATTCAAAATTACTAGCCAAAAGCCCTTCAAGCACTTTATTCATGAAATGTTAAGAATCTAAAAGAGAAACTTTTTTAGGAACTTGTAACTTGTCTTATTGCTTAGTTTTCTATGTAGATTTTTACTTGAGAGCAGCTTTCCCAAAATCGTATGATATGGATAGAATTTATAGAATGCCTTGTTGTTTGACTACTTCCCACAGGACTCTTGTGATTTTATCCTGAAAGTTAGCAGTTTATCAGTGAAACTTGTAAGAGGTTCAGTGCTGGAGGACTCCAAGGGATGGATCCAAGTGTTGATAAAACTGGAAAATGCATAAGGTTATTTGTAAAATACTTAGATTTCAAAGTGATCTAGTCTTGTGATGTTTTTTTACAGAGTATTTCAATCATGGAAAGACTTCTGCAAGACCAGTTTGGAGGGCCTGTTTTATAGTAAAAAATGTGAGTGCGCAGATGAAATGTTTTATTCAATGCAATAATTAACCAAGAAAGTTAAAAGATTTTATAAACCATTTGACTCTGAGCCTATTTGAATAATCCAATTCTTAATTTTTGCTTGTACAAGAACTTTCACAAGTTTCTTTTTCTTTATAAAGAGTTTTAATTTTTTTTTAAAAAAAATACACATACAGAACATAAAACATAAAACCATCTTCTATTTCATATACATATAGTGTGTCAGTTGGTTATAAATCTTTTGTGCCATTCTTTTATAGTCATTTACTCACAGTTTATATCAATTTTCACATTGTCAAACTAACATATGCTTATATACAGTATTTATCAGTCATGAATCATCCATGACTAAACTGTTTGTTCCATCATTTTATACGAGATATTCCAAATTTTATCTTAAAATTTGTTATACTTTCTTTTTTTAAAAAAAATAAATTTTATTGATTTTACAATTAAAACAAACCAACAACACATACATAAAAAGAGAAAAAGAAGGGAGAAGAAAATAGAAAGAAAAAAATAGAAAACAATTAAAAACATTCTCATCTTCAACAGTTTGTAAGACCTCTTTTTAATCCTTGTTTTATGCCATATACACACACCTAATCCTTACATATATCTGTGTATCACTACTATGGATTTATCCTATCCTCTTTTGCCTTTTAGTGTGAAGTCTATCTTTGGTCTATCCATTTGTACCAGCAGTTCCAGCTGTTGTAGAATATTGAGGTGTCTTTATTTTTTAATGCCAAAGTTAATTTGTCCATTTCTGCACAGCTTGAAATTTTTTGAATGATCATATCCTCTGATGGAACATGAAGACTGCTTCAACATTGTGCAAAAGCCAATCTGGCCGCTGTCAAAATGTGTATTATTATATCTTTCACTTTTTTTGATATTTGTTTATCAAAGATCCCTAACAGAAAGGACTCTGGTTTGAATTCTATCTGTTCTCTTGTCATTTCTTCCAGCCAATTTCTAATTTTCTGCCAATATTTTTGAGCTTCTGCACAAGACCACCACATATGGAAAAAAAGTTCCCTCTTTTTTTTTTTTTTTTTGCATTTCCAGCAATTTGGACTCATATTGGGGTGCATCTTCGCTAATCTCGAAGGAGGAAGGTGCCATCTATAAAACATTTTATAGGCGTTTTCTTTGTATGCTACCGATTTTGTAATTTTATTATTTCTACCCCAGACCTTTTCCCATTCTGTTATGGTGATGCTACGTCCTATATTCCTACTCCAGGCTATCATGTTCCCTTTTACAATTTCTTCTTCTAATTCTCCTTCTAATAAATAATTATAAAAGTTTGTTATATTTTTTTTGCCCGATCCTAATAAAATTTTATCTAATTGCTGGAGTTTATTGTTAATTCCAAATTCTTTCTTGTCCTGTTTATATTTTGAATTTGAAGATATGCCCACTGATCAATTTTTAGTCCCCGCTCTTGAAGTTCTTGCCGCGATTTCAAATTTCCTTGTGTATTCAATAGGTCCTTATATTTAATCATTTTAGTGATATCCAGATTATTTGGGTGAATCATTGCCTCCATTGCTGAAATCCAAATTGGTATTTTTAAATAGTGTTTTTTTCCGTATTTTCTTCCAATTAGTTAATAATGAGTCTCTGATTAGGTGTCTGTGAAAATATTTCTGGCTAGTTTTCCCTACATCCCATAAAAAAGCATGCTCTGAAAGTAATGGCCTTCTAAGAATAATATTCTCTTATTGGTTAAATTCACCCATTCCTTCAACCATACTAAAGAGGCTGTACTGTAATACAACTCCCAATTTGGAAGTGCCAGCCCTCCCTTGCTCTTCATATCCTGCATTGCCTTTAAATTTATTCTAGGTTTTTTCCCTTGCCAGATAAATTTTATAGTTATTTTATTAAGTTCTTCAAAAAAAATGTTGTGTACTTTGATTGGGATCGTCTGAAATATATATAGGAATTTTGGAAGAATATTCATTTTAATAGCAGCAATCCTGCCTAATAATGAAAGTTGCAGCTTGCCCCATGTTTCTAAATCCTTCTTTACCTGTTGCATCAATTTATTATAATTATTTTCCTTAAGTGTCTTACAATATGCTGTCAACCATATTCCTAAGTATTTAACTTTCTTTATCACTTGTATTCCCATAACTTCTTCTAGTTCAGTTTTCTGTTTTTCTGTTAAATTTTTAGTCATTAATTTTGTTTTCTTCTTATTAATTTTAAGTCCCGCTACTGCCCCAAATTGTTCTAATTCATTCATCAATTTTTATCCTCTTTCTGTTGGTTCCTCAATGAAAAAAATCATATCATCTGCAAACTCTTGCAACTTATATTCTTCTTTCTTAACCTTTAATCCTTTTATGTCTGGGTTCTGTCTAATTCGCATTAGTAATGCTTCTAATGATAATATGAAGAGCAGGGGTGAGAGTGGGCAGCCCTGTCTGACTCCTTTTTCTATTTTTATTGGGCGGGTATATTCCCCGTTTATTATAATATCAGTCTGTTGTGTATCATAAATGGTTGTTATAATATTTTCAAATTTGGTGCCTAAATTCATATTATAAATGTTTTGGATTAAAAATTGCCAATTTAAATTATTGAAGGCCTTCTCTGCATCTAAAAACGTAAGTGCAATTTGTTTTTTGGGGTGGGCTTCATAAAATTCTAAGACATCTAGTACTATTCTTAAGTTGTTCCTGATTTGTCTGGTCGGGAGAAATCCATTTTGATCTTCATATATATGCTCATTTAACATTCTTTTTAGTCTACTTGCTATAATAGAAATGAATATTTTGTAATCAGTATTTAACAGTGAAATCGGCCTATAGTTATGTATATATCGGGGATCTGAATCCTCCTTCAGGATCAGCGAAATCAATGCCCCCCTCCATGAGTCCGGCGTCCTGGCTGCCAATAAGACGTCATTAAAAACTTCCACCATAAGAGGTCCTATTTGTTCTGCTATTGCCTTGAACAGCTCCCCTGGAATACCATCTGGTCCCTGGAATTTATTGTTTTCTGGTTCTCCATTGCTGATTTCAGTTCAAACCAAGTAATGTCTTTGTTTAATAATTCTTCGATTTCTTCCCCAATTGCTTTATCCTTCACTTCATCTAAATAGTTTCTTATTCTGTCTTCATTAACTTCTTCCTTTTTATATAACTCTTCAAAATACTTATGGGAAATTTCTTTTTTCTGTTCTATTTCCTGTTGTATATCCCCCTTTCCATCTATTAGCTGGTACATCAATCTCTTTTCTTTCCTTTTTTTTAAGTCTATATGATAGCCATCTCCCTGGCTTATTAGCATGCTCAAAATAAGTTTGTCTAGTTGTATTCAAATTTATAATCATTCTTCCTTGTTCAATTCAATTCAATTTATGTTTAGTTATTATTATTTGATTTTGCAATTTTGAATCCTTTGGGGTACTCTGTAATTGAGTTTCTAATTCCTTAATTTTTTGTTGTAATTTGTTTTGCTGGGCGTATTTTTCCTTATTCCTCTTGGCGTTATAAGAGATTGTTATACCTCTTATTACTGCCTTCACTGTATGCCATTTTCCTTTAAGAAATAATTTAATTCATCCTTGAGTTTGTTGGTGTATTCTTTTTCTCTTATTAACTGAGTATTTAACGTATATTTTTTCTTGGGTTTTTCCCTACCCTTCCATATTATCTGAATTGGATTGTGATCTGCCCATTCATTAGGTAAAATTTCAATCCCTTTTATCTCATTTGCTATTTCCCAGTTCATCCATGCCATATCAATTCGTGTCCATATTTGATGAGGATTTGAATAGAATGTAAATTGTTTTTTCTCGGGATTTAATCTTCTTCATATATCAGTCAATTTAACTCCATCATTTCCATACATATCTTGGGAAGCTCCCTTTCCCCCCCTTTGTTCTTCCCCCCATTACTGTGGTCTTTTTGATAATCAGAAATAGAATTAAAGTCTCCTATGATACAAATATTTCTTTTTTCCAATCCTACTATTTTTCCATAAAGATGCTTAAAAAACTCTTTGATCTCCATTCAGGGCGTAGATTACCACTAAGAGAATTGGGATGGCATTAATTCAGATTTGCAAAACCAGAGTTCTTCCCTCAGAATCCGAGCATATTAAATCTGCTTTCAAATCCTCTTTAACATATATTGCAATCCCTTTCTTTTTCCCCATGTCTGCTGGTGCGGTAAATAGCTTCCCTAATTTCGAACATTCTAGGTATATTTCATCTGTTTTCTTTATATGAGTTTCTTGTAGGCATATTATATCAGCGTTTTATTTGATTAGTTTAGCTATTATCCTTTTCCTTTTTATCGTCGAGTTTAAACCATTTATATTAATTGATAGTAATTTCTTTTCTTCTTCCATTTATTTAATTCTGTTTCGCTCTTTGTCTTGTAATGGCTCCGGTCTCTCCTTGTGCCTGAAGATGTGTCCTACTTTCTTCTCTCTCCTGATGTAGATGAGTATTTCCTTGATTTCCTAAAGTTCAATCTCTGTTCTTATGATAGCCTTGATCTTCCTGGGAGTTTGTTTCCAGTTCCTCCTTACTGCTCTGGTCTTCCGGACCTACCAATCGCTCATAAAATTCCTGGGCCTTTTCCATGGAGTCTATTTTAATTTTCCTTTCGTTCCAAAAAACTAACATCCCCTCTGGGATTAGCCATTTAAATACGATTCTTTTCTGATTTAGGTAAGCTGCTAAGAACTTGTAGTCTTGTCTTTGTTCTCTTATTCTTCTTGGTATTTCTTTGAGAATCAAGACTTCTTTACCTTTATACGTGATTGTTTCATCTCTTGACATCCTATATATGATATCCCGGACACTCCTTCTCGCAAATCGTGTATGGACTTCTCTTGGGCATTTGTGGCATCTCGCATAATTAGTGCTAATCCTGTAAACTTCATCAAACTCCTTAAGATGTCATCTTTATCCTTTTCCAATAGTCCAGCCAGTATTCCCGCCATTAGTTGTTCCAGGT